TGGAATGCTGCCACTACTTCAGTAGTTCCATCCTCCATCTCCGCTACACCTCTGGCGATTGAAAACTCAATACCATGGTTACTATTGTGGCTTTCATCGTCTAGCACTACCACCCCCCCCCATCTCCCTCCATCTAACCTCGGCTATAGGAGGTGGGCTCGCTTCCCCTCTCCCTTGGGGTCCTGATTTATTTCTTGATTCCCTCGGTTCCATCCCTGGTTGAGGCCTCTCATCTTCGTAATGTTTGCCCTCTTCCTACCCAACCTCGCTTAGGCGTTGGCACGGTCAGAAACCCCCTTTTCCACCTTCAACAGACAGCGGGGACTACAGTTGTGGTAGGAGAGAACAGCTTACAGGCTACGGTCGATCTCTCCATTCTCTTGCCCCCATAAGAGGCTGCCTAGTTGGATACGAATGCAGTTACCGATAGTTGTCGTCACGGAATTGGGTCTACCCCTCCTCTACTCTTTGGGGCCTTTTTGGCTGGCAGGTGGTGGGATCCCTTCCACTACAGTGACGCTATCTCTCCCAGAACAAGGAACTACATGAGAGACGCGGTAAAACACTTGCTTCGCTTAGGGCTTCTCTCCACGGTCAGATCGGCTGGTACCCTACTACCACCTCCTCTCAAGCTGGCACCTTACTGCCTCAATCATCGGTTGTCCTGGAGGACACGCGGTCACTGGCACGCCTGCCACACACCTCCTCTCCTCACTTCTCGGTTGCCTCCTTTGGGGTGGTTTCCCTTATACCCTATACGCCCGGGGCTTCGGCTCCCTCCTCCTGGCTCTCATCACATAGCCTAGGGGTTTCTATGATGGATTTGAGTTGTGGCCATTGGCCCTTAGGGGTTTGGTTTGGGTTTCTGCCTTTAGGTGTTTCGTTCTTAGGGTTGGGTGCATTCTTGGTTCACTGTCGGGTAGTTAGCTTTCTTTTGTCGCTTGGCGGTGGGAGTTATTGGTTCGTAGTTTACGGGAAGGATTTTGGGTGGGAGTAGTTTTTTCTACCCCAGAGGGTTTTTTTAGCTCTGTCGTTTGGCCTGGTCTGGGGGGGGGCAGTTTTTTAGGCATCATAGCTAGCGCTCCGAGTCCATATGCCATTTTTGTCCTATAAACAAAATACAAAATGAGTCAAACACAAAAACAAAACAAAACTACTTCAGTAGTTCTATCTCTTATATACCTTATACTTATGAAAATACCCAGACTATGAGGCATCTTCTCTGTAACCGGAGCTGGTGCTGGGTTAGTTTGTTTTATGTTTTGTTTTAAGTATTGGTTGATACTTAGTTTCTTTTATGTTTTGTTTTAAGTATCGGTTAATACTTGGTTAATTTTATGGTTTGATTCAGTAAGAACATGAGTGAGAATTCAGGATTATACTCAAATACATATACTTAAAAAGACTGCTGTATTCTACTCTGGAAACGGCAGACTTTGACAGACAGTATTCTAATATACTCAGTTGAACGATTATCTTTATTTTCCCACTACACCACTAAGGCCTCCCTTAGCGAGCATAGAATTATTAATCTCCGGTACATTAATATTCTACTCCTGTTGTACTCAATGATATGACTAGCACCATAGTATGAATATGTTACATTCTCCAATATATTCTGACATATCTACCTAGTGTCCTACTTGACCTTATAGTCTCAGGTATGCATTTAGATATGGGTTACTATAGCTCATTCTCATAAGGTCATTATATACATAGTGTTCATCACGGGGCGAGGTAGGGTGGGATTTGCCCTGTTGGGCACTGCCATTACACAGGCCCGAGAGAGGTATTGTGGTATTCCTCCCCACTCCACCCCTGTCTGAGACCCCACCCCAGTCTTTACCTGAACGAGGCCCCACATCTTATCACCTAAATTTGCCAGGCGCCTGTCTGGGCCATGGGTGGGGCAGGGCCCCCAGCGGGTGACAGGGCCGAGCCCACCTCCAAAAATACCCCGCCCCAGGCCAGTGAGCAGACGAGGGTACAGAATGGAGCTGGGGGCCCCTGTTTTTCAGGACCCCAGAGGCCCCGTAACGAACTCTATATATATACTAAAAGTATACTACTATGTTGTCTTAGTCTGAACTTCAAAACAGTATATTTGTATAGACAGGTAGCAGAATATGAGAATAATAAAAAATGAAGAAGTATACTAGTAATTAAAAGTAAGAGTACTACAGATTAGGACTATATAGTAGAAGGAAAGTGGTTATTTATAAAGTAAAACCCTGATAGTCTAATGGGCTAGGAGTTCTTTTACTCTGTGCTCTGAAAATATCAAGATAATATAGTGAACAAAATTGAAACCCACTTCTGGGAGGGAACAAAGAATAATAAGGATAGAAGTAAGATGCAGTTCAGATATCAGAAACACAGAAATTAAGAATCAGATACATGAGACTAGAACAGAGTGTTTTCACACAATGTATAATATATAATATAACTGGATAAGATCTAAAAAGAAGAATGTAGAAAGTAAATGAAGTCCAGCAGTATAAGATGTACAAATAGCAAAGAAAACTGAGAGACTACTTAAGACATGATCAGGATGGGTGTAAGGGAGCAGGAACCAGATGTACTATAGTGTACTAATAGGACTCTGAGTACAGTGAATTAGGAGTAGTGTTATGTCAAAGATCTGAATGTCCAGGATGTGGCAGGATATTGTGTCAGTGATCTGGATGTCCAGGATAGGACAGGGTGTTACATCTACAATCCAGATGCCCAGGATGTAGCTAGGTATCAGAATAGATTGCAGGACAGATCACATGCAAGGAATAGGAAGGAATATACAGGTGTATCAGAATATAGTGCCTATGGCATCACAGGTAAGTAATTTTTCCGCTGATGTCAAGCATGTGCTGTCTTACATAATAAGAGAAGTGGCTATATTACCAGAATTTCTACAGCTCAGGAGTTAATAATGGCTGCAACCATCTCTCCCAAACAGGCATCAGAAGAGCATTTTCCACACTCTCTAAATCCATTCATATTATCTCTTTTAAACAACAATTCTGGGCAGTATTTTTGTTGGTCAGTAGGGTTGGAGTAACCAGCTACAGAATTGTGACATTACATCCGTCAAACCATCATCTTGAGATTATTGTAGTTTCTTGTTGCCACCTCCATTTTGTGATTATGAAGGTTTGAAAAAGCCCCGACCAGACGCGCCCTAAGTCTAAAGCTATCAGTATTGCCAGCTGGAGACTAAGTTAATCCCAACTCTAGTTGCCCAGAACCACACATCACAAATCACGTCCCTGAGCTCCCATCATCCGGTTTTACCATACTCGAGCACCCACAGCGCGCAAACTATGGGCAGTTCTATTCCCTCATCTCGTAGCACATTTGATCATGTAATACTCGTCACTGCCATTTACCGTTGGTACCAGCATTTGTACTAAATTACTTTGCCCCGCTACCCTTGGTCCCCACGACTCGGAACATTGACCATTCACCTAACCCTGTCCCCTATTTTCTGAGACGCCTTTCGCGCGCAAACAATTGGACAAAAGATAGAAATTTGATAGCAGAGCAATTAAAATTAGAAACATTCAGACCCCGGGTAGCCATGAAATTTGAGGTAAAGGAAAAGTAATTCAATTAAGGGGGAAACCTGCGCGGAAAGAGGTAAATGTAAGATGTAGCCAAATTAGTCCGTATCATCTTCCTGAATTTCCACCTCATCGCTATCGCGGTCGTCTTCCTCACCGGCGGACGGCTCGTGTGGCGTCGGTTCACGTTTTTTGCGACTTTCAACCCTCCATTGATTGCTGCTGGACGGGGTTGACTGATGCTCACCGGCCTTGCTCAAATGAAGAATCGAATATTGCGCTCCCTGGGTAGCTCTACGGGCTCTTTCTGGGAAACGGCGCTCTCTTTCTGGCCCCACAGCCTGGGCCGGGGATTCGGTACCAACCTTGCGACGTTTTCTCGCAGCGATCGGGGGAGATTCCTCCTTGTCGTCGACATCGTCGGCGCTCAGGATGGCAGATTGCTTAGGTACCCTTGTCGTCTGAGTACTGCGGGGGGCATTCGGTGCGGGCATTCCGCCGTTCGACAGGTTTTCCGCAACAGCGACCATTTGATCGTAAAGCTTGCGATCAAAGTCGACAAATTCGAAGGAAGTCGCAGAGAGCCTGAGAGCTTTGGATTCATCCTCGCGATTGAAGAACTCCATAATATCTTTGAGAGTGAAGTTGCGGATCTCGCCGTGGGTCCTAAGCCCTTTATCCAGGAGCATTTTCGAGCCCCAACCTGTGTTTATGAACTTCTCTGCCCATTTCTTTTTCACGACAGGATCGGAATTTTGCCAAACAGACAGAGGAACCATTCTGCGACCCCCTACCTTGTATTCGCCGTAAAAGGCGAAGTGCGCCCTGTCCATCTTTTTGAAGATAGGATAGCGTGATGCCAAAAGTTCACCCTCTGCTTTGTGGAGATCGATGAGCTCACAAGTGCTACCAATGGCCTTGGGTGGGTTAAAATGGAGATCAGGTGTGAATACAATGTAATATTCGTAGTGGAGCACGTTCTCCTTGGTAACCTGAGCTACAATCTTCCCCGGACGCGTTCCAGTAATCGCTTTAATAGCGTCGGCCGTGAACCAAAACGGCGTCTCAGGAAGGTTTTCAGGAAATTTGCGGCCGCGAGCGATTGCCTTCGCAGAAGGGGGCGGAATCTTCTTACTAGAAGTAGCCCCAGGGGCACTTGGCATGCCCGGCCCGATTGAGGCCAAGAGAGGAGCTGTGTTCCTCGCTGGGGTTTTAACACTCTTTTGATTAACCGCGACGAATCCACTAGAAGGTACCTGCTCCTCAGCGCCCGACTCTGATCCTGATTCTCCCTCAATCGGATGAACCGCCGTCGGCGACTTAACTTGAGGTTGAACCCTACCGCTCATCAGTGGGCCGGCTCTTCTGGCCTTCCCAAACCCTCCTCTGGTCGGAACTAACTTTGGAGCTTCCGCAATCCCGTCGGAAGATGATTCGTCTGAACTCGAGCATGCGTCCCCGCTCATCTGGACAGGTACCCTGCCACCCCCTCTTCCTCTACCAGGCTTGCCTCTTGTTGGCCGCATCTTTTGAACGGGGCGCTCCTTCGACTTATTCGACTCGGTAGCTGACAGAAAGACGGGTGTTTCGGGAACAGGAGATTCAGTACGGGGGAGCGGTGCTGGCGGAGCCGGAGCGACGTTTTCACGGTCGCTGTCGCCGGCTGACATTGCCATATCAACGTCCTGGTAGGCAGCGGACTGCAATGGATCGAGTTCTTGATAGTTGGTGGTTAGTACCAACAGAAATGCTGTAGAGCAAAATAATCTCTACCTGGGAAATAAACTCACCCGGAGATATTGTCCTCTCAAAACTATCAGCAATAGTGCCATTATGCTTTGGCTTTTCCGCGGGCTGAATTGAACCGGCATTACCACGGGAAACGGTGGGCTGTGCCTCAAAGGCATCAGAGTTAAAACGCTCACCCGCAGACGGGGTCACCTCAGTGTGCCCCAATGCTTTCCGGAGTTCATTTAATTCCTGCGCCTTACACTGGTCTTCGGTGTCGCGCATTAAACGTCTAAGCTCTTCAATCTCCCGATTTTGTGTCAGACACTTTTCTGTGAAATTAGTCAGAATCGAGTTTTGAGTCGCCTGTATCTGGTCCAGCTTCTCTGTAAGTAACTTGAACATCTCGCGCATGCTGGGCCCGGAACCTACAACCCGGGCTGTTAGCAACTACCGCGCATGGCATGTGGATGAACCTACTTTCAGCGGCATTCCCGCTGGTTCGAGTTCGGCCGAAAACCATCTTAGAGAATGGGTTTGCTTGTTCAACTGAATTCAAGGCTTAGTAAGTCATGCCGAGTGCTACCGCAGCTAGTGTTAGATGGGAAAAAATGGGCATGAGTGAGAGAAAATAGAAGGAAAGAAACTAAAAGAGAGGACGTGAGAGAAGGGACTGCGAAAAAAAATACGCGAGACAGAAAACGGAGGCTAAAACGGGTTCAAAGGAATAATAATAACAGCTCATACAAGAAAGAGAAGAACAAAGTAGAGTAAATCAAGAGAGCCCTGTACAACAATGGAATAAACTAACTCACAAAAGCAGAAATGAGGAATTCTGTAAATTGAAAGGAATGTGGGATGTGAGATTGATGGATGTTGATGGTTAAGAACTTAAGGGAAAGAGGAGAGTAAAGGACAGGTGTTAAAAGGTTGGGGGGCCCTGCAGAAGAGAATGTGAGTCATCTGGCTTGGCATTAGCCCTAAGCTATCTTGGCATTTGAACAATTCTTAAAAATAGATCAGATGAAAAAAGGTATCAATTGAATAATAATTATAATAGCATTACTAGAAATCAGTTATAATAGAAGCTATATAAAATTATAAATAATTCAGAACCGGGACTCTAATTATAATCTATTCTTCTAACATTAAATATTTTATATTTTATTAGTGCTTTGTATTTTTGTATCTCTTCTAACTTGCTTTAAATATGTATTACTAATTATAAAATTTACTCTTCACCTATTATAGCCGGAACCTATTATTTCCTAAATTTCCACTTTATTCTATGGTTCCACTTACAATAAACCAATAAAATTGATAAGAAAATAATGGCTAGAAAAAAATTACTACAAATATAAAACTAGAGAAAACCTATTTATTTTATATCAAACCTGTAGTCAAGAAGCAAGCCTACAAAGTTATTGTGGTAGAATATTCAAGTTAATATTAAATAATATAAAAGTTTCATTAGCCTTTAAAATAACAGAGAAAAAAACTACCTGAATATTATATTTTTTAAAGATGTAAACAACTTTTATTTTATTTAATATCAAAATTCTACCTAAATAACCTTTCTTGTAGGCCTGCTTCCTGACTACATGCCAGAGGTAAAATAAGTATTTTTTTTTCTCCAATTTTGAGTTTGATATTGATTTTTTACTAGGTGCCATTTTCTTGTCTAGTTGTTGGTTTACCATGAGCAGTACCATATCTCCCTCAACTATTCTCTCTTTCCAGAATAGTTGTAATTATTTTTGCTTATTTAATCCTAGCTTTCCAATTTATAAATTGTTTAGATTGCCGGCTCTTCCGTTCTTACTTTATACTATTTCAATCTCCTAATATAATCTCAATCCTCCTTTACATCTATCCTTAAGTAGTTCTTTAGCTCAACCCACGATTGCCACTCACCAATAATATTTCCAATAACCTACACTCCTAAGATTCTCTATAGACCTTAACTCCCAAACCCTAAATCTAATAATAATGAGCCTAAAATTTTCCTTGCATGATATCCACGGGGATTATTAGCTACATCATGATAATCTTATTGTGGGAATATTTAGAAACCCTCTAACTCTATTTGATTCATTCATTCACTTGTTTCTAACAATCCAAGTACACCACGGAGTCCTTATACATGCTGGAAATCACTTTAATTTGTTGCCCATAGAGAAGAGAGCTGGGAGGGACCGACTGACTGTTCTGGCCCTATCTAACCCAGCAGCACTTTATCGCTCTCGATATAGCGTTCTGTCCCGCATGCGGAGACGGAATCATTTGCTGATAGATCGGCCTTATCTTGTGGTCTCCCCCTCTCCTACCATTCGAGCGCTAGCGCAGAACTGCAGTCACCTGAAAGACGGGTCCGCAGACTTAGAGTTGTCGTGGAGTTGATCTGGGGTCCAATGAGATTTACCTTGTCATATAAATCGCCCCCTACCACAACAAACTTCCCGAGTAATGTGCCTGATTCTTCCCTCTCCTTTCCCCATTTAGAACAAAATTTACCTTACTTACATGAACGGAAGGGAATGGGGACGGCATAACTCAGCAAGTTGCCAAACCTTTGCCATTCCGGCACATTTCACCCCAAAGAAGTTATTTGGGCTCGTCCCAGAGCCGTTCTCGAGAGCGAGCGGAATTGGTACTGGTGAGCATTTTCCCTCTTTTGTGACATAGGTCGCTCATGCAGCCACTTGAGTTTTCCTATAAATTATCTCTCAACCTGGACTGTCAAACTTTAACCCATCACAACAACAACCTTCCCCTCTCTCACCCCGCCCAAACAAAACAAAACAAAACAAAAAATCCTACCCCCCAGGAAAGAATCCAGAACCATGCCGCCGCCAACTCAGTTGTCCATCAAGGCTTCCTCCGTTCTCCGCCTGATCAAGGAGGAAGCTTCCTACCTTACGGAAACCATCCAACAAAGGGCTGCCGTAGCAAAATTAGAGCTGGCAGGTGCGGACGAGTATGAGCTTCGCCAACCGGTTCGGCATTTCCGAATCTTTATCACCTAACGTCAGAGATTTCACGTACTTACCAAGTTGCGGTTTATCGTGATAGAGACAAGTCCTCGAACAGACCATCGTGATGGCACCGACGGTTCGTAAGCAATTGCAAGCGGCGCTTGGTGCATTGTCGGAAGCCTTGGTCGGTTTTCATTGCTTGGGGGGGTGGAATGAAAATGGTGCTGACAAACTGCAGGAGGCAGCACCGGAATCCGAGAGTGAGGAGAACAAAGCAAAAGCGAGGATGGCTCTTAACAACGGGAGGAAGGTTCTCGAGGAGCATGGGGTGCCGAAATAATTCCTAGATAAGCTGGGAGCTTACGCGCGCTTTGGGTTCGCAGGATGTCACGTGACTTGGATTGCGGTGATACATACTCACGCTCATCTCTTTTGTCCGCAACCCTGTGATATCTCTGACAGTCCCAATGCATTACGCTACGCGTGATTCTTAAAGTAAAGCCAACGAACCTTCCCTCGTTTCTCCAATTATTATTTAGTGTTCTGGCCTGAAGGTTGTGGTCACCAACAAAGCTCATTTGAACGATCGAGGCCCCGGGTGCGACTCCACATTTTCCTCTCTTATTCCTTTGCGGTGGGTGGGGGAAATCCAGGGCCCTCAGAGTCTGGAGAACTTTAGCTTTATGGCGCATTCCGGGTATGATATTGCCTTCATTGAGGTTACAAAAGGACCAACCGCGCGCTGGTATGCCCATTCCATACTACCCACATACCGCTACGATGCAAAATAGGGAGAAAGGGCTGCTAGCGCACAGGTTGAACAGATGCACTGCCTGTTGACAAAATTATCCGAACGCTGGGCAAGTGCGACAACAATTGCTTTCAAAAAATCCTGTACAGGACAGTCGTGTCTGGAAACTCTTCGTACCCCTAGCCAATGCAATCACGTGAATATTAATGACCTGATGTGTACAAATAAAGAAGTAAATAGATTGTATTTCAATGGATAGTAAAATCTAAGCAGTAAAGAGCATCTTTAGAAATTATTATAAAATTTTAGCATCACATACTGTTTACAGACGACTATGTTTAAGTACAGCCTGTTCTATCTCTACTGTATAATACCTTGAGTGATTGAAAAACATTTCCTCATTAGAGAGCACTTAAAAATAAAAAAAAAATACTACGACTATTCCTACACACCTACTCCCACTTTGGGGGAGCAGTTCCATCACCTCATGCATACTTTTGTATCTCGTACTCTATTGTTTGTGATATAAAACTATCTTTTTCTGCTTGACTTGTGTCTTTAAAGTCTTCCATCTTTATTGATAAAGCTATAATCAATAAGTCTGTACACCCACCCCACCTGCACCTTTACCACATAATCCAGCTGCAACTTCAATTAATCAATTGCACCACCAAAAATGACTTTAAAAATACAATAAAAATAGAGACAGAGAGCTATTGCCATGGTGTTTAATACTTGGTATACCAGCCTCGATTTTTTCTCACTGCATGGTAGCGCCTGGGCATTGAATCAATCAGGGAGTTAATTAACACCTGGGGGACTGCCTCCTATGCCATCTTCAGTGCCGCAATGAAAATCACCCTACTCTCCGCATTATCTTTAAGATCTGTCAAGTATCCATAGTCCTTTCGAAGAATACTCTTCATAGCCTTCCAGACATACTCAATTGGGTTTAAATCTGGGCTGTGTGCAGGGTGTTCGGACACCCACATGCCATGCGATTCCAACCACTCTTTGGTGACCTTTGCAATATGAATTCTTGCATTGTCTTGCAAAAAAAACCTCTCAGGAGCATAGTGGGGCAATAAACCTTCCTCCAAGACCGCGATATAAGAGCGGGCACTATATCTGTTCTTCGGAGAGTCCTCATCTCGTCGTATAACCTGTAATTCCGACCGTCCCCCCTTCCAGATAGCCCCCCATACCATAAAGGAGAGGGAAGATTTGACATGTTGATTCTCGTTGACAGCCCATTCTTTCCATTTATCCTTTGGAAGTCAAAAAACCTATCCGTCTAGTGAGTTAGGAGAGTTTTGTACTGAAGACTCATCGCTATAAATGCCCTAGAAAAAATATTAGTGAGGGCTCACAGAGTAGGGACTAATACTTGCTCATACCTCTACCAATTCTTGGTCTTTCTGACGATAGTAACCTGTAATCCGTAGCCTTTCTTTCACATCTCTCTTCTGCAGTCGAATTCTTTTACAACATCTCCATTTACGATGTAGATTGGGCCTGAGAGCATGGCAGATAGTATTGAAGCATACATTGGCACCAGTATTCTCAATGAGGTCGCAAAAGTATATATTCAGGAAACTCCTCACAAGACGAAGTCAGCAGCAGATAATCTGACAATTTAGCTTCTTAGGACAACCAGTTCTTGGCCCGGAACCGAAGTGGTTGAGTTCGCGTGCTCGTTTAATAGTGTGGTAGATGGTCTGCCTTGTACACCCAAATTGTGATGCGACAGCCAATGGACTTGAACTCAAACTTATTGCCTCGAAAATGCATGCCCTATCATGGGAATTCAGTTCTTTTCATCGCTGCAGGGGAGTTTGCCGATTTCTGCTTATAAAGGTACCAAAAGCTTGTGGAGGGGTCATTTTTCGGTGGTGTTATAAAAAAAAGAAAAAAAGAAGTCTGGGGGTTAAGCAAGGGTTGTGTAAGAACACGTTGCGTGTTTGATCTGGTGGGCATGGGTGGGGTGGGTATACAGGCTTATTGATCATAACTGTAGCGATCTTACTATGCTATTAGTCATCTACTATTCCGTGTTTGGTACTAAACTTGTATAGCCTTTATGGTATAGCAAGTAGCTTTTTATTTTCTAGTATTAGAGGTACATGGTTTCTGATTCAGCTAACTTTTATTGTAATATAGTTATACCAGCTGGTATCTAACTTCTTTATGTTAAGTCGTACTTTGACTTAGTCTATCAGGCCCTGTAACGATCCTACGTTTTAGAGCTATGGTAGCCTATGTCTATGCCCATACATAAGACCAAGAGGTCAGATGGTAGACTAGGTGGGTATGCAGACACATATCCGAGGGATATCTGATGGTCCGGATATCCCCAAGAACAGAAGGTACTTAAGGAATAGGTGTACCTAAGTAGTGGTAGTAATGTAACAATGTCCGCTCTGGCCTAATGATAGGTCAGAGGGCCAGGTGAGTTTTCCCTGTCTAAGTGTAATGGGGGCTCCCGCAGGTAGATGGTTCCTAAGGATGTGCCTGCACCAAAGTTTGAATCTCTCGAACACAGCGCTTACAAAAGTGTTAAGAATAAAAGTAAATGGTAAAACTTATTATCGTTAAGCTTAGGCTTATCTCAATTAAAGTCTCTTGAGAGGAAGTTGATTTTTTCAGCGTAGGAGAGTTCTCGTATAATCCTTAAGTAGTTAGACTTATACCAAAATCTCCCCTATCAGGTTACTCCGACTAACACGAGTATGTCCGTCTCCGTAAGGGTTGCTCCGGCACCATTACCGTGCCCCCGAAGGGCCCAAGGTGTCAGCACTTTCTGGTGGGAATCTCCAATATGCGCGTCGGTTCCTGCGAGGTATTTACCAATACACCTGCCGGAGTGAAAACCTCTGCGCATCGGTGTCTTGTCAGTAGCTAACTGTCGAGACGCCTAGGAAAGCTAACTAAATGACTCTCTTCCCATGTGCTATGACCTATGCAAGCTCCCGTAGATATCAGCTGTCTTCCGGCTAAGTTCGATCTATCTTGAGTGTGAACTTAGAGGATCTACGACGCTACCGGGAAAAGCTGCGGCCGCGGCGGGACCGGTGGGCGCTACCCATGGTCCCTTACCCCCGACACGCCACTCACCGTGATAAGGGTCATGCTATTAGAGTCTTTAAACAACCTACAAAGAGCCTACAGCAAAGGGGCACGTGTAGGCTTGATTGGTGTAAAACCTTCCCAGATGTCTCTGGCACTACCCATGGACTATGCTGGAGATTCTTCCGGTTAGCTCATGCTAACTCTGTCAGTTTTGGTCCGTTTTACTCCATTCTTTTTGGAGAAGGTACTTGACCTTCTCGCCTTGGCCCCCTTATATATCCTGCGAACACCTTCCTGTCGGACGGATGGCAGCGACGTATGCAGTGTTATGAACAGGTCTTCATGAACTCCATTTAACTAGTAAGATGGCAACTCCTCCCATTTTGGCCCATGACGCCTGTGGCGAACCCTGGGGCCGCAGGTACCTGTTAGGAATAATTCTAGCAAGTCACAGCTTGTTTGGAGCACTATAGGTCCCCTCCCTCGTCTTCCGATCAAAGTGCAAACAAGTGCCCATTGATCATCATTGCGTAACAAACAATTCTAACATTTCCCAGAATTCCTCTGAGAACATTTCTGACAGAAGGCAGGGTAATAGTGTCCCAAAGGTAGGGTAAGTATGTCCAAGGTGACACGAAACTGGTCACCATGGTAGGGCAACGTGACTTCCTTCGATAGGATAAACTCACCCCGCCTTCTGACCTATCCTTAGGCCAGAGCGGACATTGTCACGTTACTACCACTACTTAGATATACTATTTCCTTAAGTACCTTTTGTTCTTAGAGATATCCGGACCATCAGATATCTCTCGGATATGTGCCGGCATACCCGCCTCGTCTACCATCTAACCTCTTGGTCTTATGTATGGGCATAGACGTAGGTTACCATAGCTCTATAACATAGGGTCGTTACATCACTTCCCTCTTCTCCAAGGACCGACCCGGTCCGCTAACGTCGTCTTTTGTTTTCCCGGTTCGGTTCTCCTTCAACCCTATGGTCTCTGAGTTTATGGGGATACCGATGGTGGAAATCTGTCATGGCTTCCAAGCCAGTGCCTTCTAGCATCTCATATGGCTCCCAAGAGTTCTCCTTTGCGCCATAGCCTTCCCATGAAACTAGGTACTGTGCGAAGTGATTTGGAATTTTCTCTTTCATATTACGGTACCATCGACTGTCTACGACTGCCTCAATGATATAGCTGGGCTCATTGTCTACTATCATGGGAACTGGGACTTGTGTAGTCCTTTTACCACTTGGGTCCTCTCGATAGGGTTCTAAGAGTCCGACATTGAATACCAGATGGATAGACCATCAAGCAGGTAATTGGAGTTCATAAGCCCGGTTACCAACCTTACACTTGACTACAAAGGGCCTAAACATTCAGTGGTCCAGCTTTTCCATAGGTCGCTTAGTGCGGATGTTCTTTCGATTTAGCATCACACGATCAGCTTTCTTTGCCCTGCCATTTGTGACATCATCCATCGTAACGTATTCTGGCGATGGCAACCGTTTTTGGTCATGCTACTTCCATTGCCTCTCTTGAGCTCGTTTAAGTGTATCTCGGACTTCTTGTCAGACACCTTCCCATTTCTTTAGTAATAGCTCACTACTTGAATGAATACCGTGTTGCTCCGAGACTGTACCCAACCAGTTGGTCCGTGGGTTAAAGCCATAGTTGATCTCAAACGGAGATAACTGAGTTGACTCGGAGGTGCATGTATTGTATGCATACTCTGCCAAGGGTAGTAACGATGCCCAATCATCCTGTTGATAGGAACAATAATTCCTTAAGTATTGTTCCAAGGTCTGGTTCACCCACTCAGTCTACCCATCAGTCTCCGGATGGAAAGCGGTCAATAACAGTAGTTTCAGTTGCAACTGTTGCATCAGGCCCATCCAAAACTTAGAGGTGAATCGGCTATCTCGATCAGAGATAATAGATTCTGGGAGCCTATGGAGCTGTCATACTTTCTTCAGAAATATTAGGGCCAGATCCTTTATCGGGATTTCAGTGGCCAGAGGCATAAAGTATGCCATCTTTGAGAATCTATCTACGATTACCCAAATTTTGGTATACCCTTCGGATTCTGGTGGTACTACTATCAAGTCCATTCAGATGTCCATCCGCGGCCTCATTGGCACTCCAACAGGTTCCAACAAGCCGAGCTTCTTGTGCTTTACGGATTTGTTCTGTTGACAGATATCACATGTACGAACGTAGT